ATGGCAAAGACAACGGAGCTTTGGGTTGGAGCCTCCGGTTGCAGCATTGTGGGTTGAGGACAACAGCGAAGCTAGGAGCTAGGGTGGCACCGGATCTAGGAAGGGGCGGTGCAAACGAGGAAGAGGGCTGGTCTGACTAGGTTGGGGACAATTTGAAGAGAGTTCGGCTTGTCGGATCTGAGGTGATGGATGCATCCGAGCCTCTCCATATCCGTCCCACGTATGAGCTGGGATTGAGGGGTGTCAAATAGTCCAAATATTTGAGTTGGCTTTGCTGGGTCCGATTGGGTGACTTTTTCGATTCGGGCGGTGACTGGGTTGTCTGCCAGAAAATTTGGGGAAGATTTGACAGGTCCGATTATAGATGTTCTGGTCATTTTTTGAGATAAGATGAAAGAGAAAATTAAAATATTAACTAACATTTACATGGATAACAAACCGCTTAGGACATGTACCATGGAAGCATCATTTTGGTGTTGCCCCAGCATTTCCCAATGAATAAATGTGTTAGAGCATCTCCAGCCGTTCGGTGCCCCTAGGGATTGAAATATCGCCTCCTGGGGGCTAGCCGGCCAGGAAGCGGTAACACCCAACGCATAGCGGCCTTACTAGGACCAAACTCAATCTCTCCCTCCATCTTTTAATCAATTCACAAACGTGGTTGAAGGTCACACACCGTACATAGCCCTTTCATGCCTATACTTTTCTTGTTGTCTCTCTGCTTTTTCCTCTTTCGTCAGGCCCAACTCTTCTACAAGAACCAGACTATGCAAGCAGCACAATACTTCATGTCGGACCACCCGAGCCGACGTGGATAGCTGGGGCACCTGTCCACGGTGGACCATTCGTCATGCCCTTATTAGTTTATCTAGTGGGGCACTGCTTTGGAAAATTATATCGGTTTTTATGATAGCAAATGAGTTTAAGTAATCTGTTGGAGATGCACTTAATCACATCGACCCCATTCATTCATTCCCTAAAAGCTCCAAAACCATGTACATTCTCAACCTGGTCTTATGCTAATCAACAATTAATATGTGCGCGGTTGCTTGATGACATATGAATCGCAGGTTTGCCCGACGCCAACAAAGGAGAAGAGCGAGATGATCCGGGTGGAGTATGACCTTGACAGCTCATCGAATCCGAGGTACATATTTGATAACATGCATCATAGAACCCATCCTTTTTTCTTTCCTTTAACTAGTCACACCAATTACCACCAAGCTAATCTTTTTGGCTTTGGCTGTATGGGATCTAGAAGCCATCTCAAGAGGTTTATAAGAACTGGCTCGTTGTTAACTAAGACCCTAATGATCGATAGGGTGTTTATTCCACGGAAACTTCATAGGTCGCAAAATAGTGTTGCAGATTGTCTGGCAAGGTATAGTCGCTCTGAGTGGGCTATGGCTGTGTGGCTCGACAGAGGACCCCCATATATTAAGGATATTTTGTCTAAGGATTGTAGCTCTACCATGCTGGAATAAAACCCTTTTGATCTCGCAAAAAAAAAACTACTCAAAGTATTTTAAGCTCGCTTTTGCTATTATTGGGCCATGTTTTTTTTTTCAGTTCAGTCACACCCCACCTTACTTTTGTGTGTTTGCTTCCATTTCCTTATATATGATACTTCCTCCATTTCTTTTTAGTCTGCATATAATATTTGGTCAAAGTCAAACTTTCTTAACTTTGACTAAGTTTATAAAAAAAAGATTAAGATTAACAATATGAAATCAATATTGTTAGATGCATCATGAAATAAACTTTCATATCATATAGCTTTAGTATTGTAGATGTTAATATTTTTTTCTATAAAGTTGGTTAAATTTTACAAAGTTTGACTTTGACCAAATCTTATATGCAGACTAAAAAAACGGAGGGAGTACAATATATTTTAGTCTCTTATCTTTGCATCTGTGTGCCTATGTGTGTTGCGCATGTGTGTGCATGCGTGCTGGTGATGTACGTGTATGCTCGTATTTGTGTGCGCCTACCTACCATGCGTGCACGCTTGTGTGAGTGTGTCACGCGCAATACCAATAAGAGATGTAATTCATCTTCGGCTTGCTCGGGTGTGTGTGCGCGCGTACTATGGGCATAAGATAAAAACGATCAATCTTGAAGATACACGCAAGTTCAATGAAATGTGTGTCCTAATTGTATCGTCTGTCCAGAAGTTGCACTAGTATATGCTTGTTACTATATATAGTGAAAAAAGTGTAATTTCTGTGCAATATGTATGCAAGTTTTTATTCTCATATGTTTTTATTTTCGTTCTTTTTAGGGCAATACCCATTCCCTTAATTCATTCTTCCTTAGGATTTTTTTGTTTTTGGTTTTAATACTAGGATAATTTGTGCAATTATCATTGTTGGATGATAACTTCTGGTCACCTAGCACATAGTCGCCCCCTTTTAAGTTTCACAGTGTTTAAGAAAAAATATTACCAAGTACAGTGCTGAATCAATATCACTAGAACTACGAACACATGTGTTTTTACTATGTGATGTATTTATTATGAATTATATAAATGTTAATATATTCCATTGTAAAGTTGAGCAAACTTAAAACAACCTAAAAGGCTAAAACAGTTTGACTTAAGGCAAGATTCAGTGGGAATCTATTATAGATGAAGTGAGGGAATATGTTTTCCCTCAACGAATCTTTGAGAAAACAGATGTCATTAATGTTCTACCCTAAATGAATCTTCAAAATTAATGACTAGCTTAATTGTTGAAAGTAAACGTGATGTGGAAAATTATGTTTCGGTTGCAGCTTTCCGAAGGTGGTGATCGACGGGCCATATAGTGCGCCGACGCAGGACTACAAGAAGTATGACACCGTCCTACTAGTGGGGACCGGCGTTGGTGCCGCACCCATGATCTCCCTCGTCAAGGACATCGTCAACAACATGAAGCAACCCAACTGCAGGGATGGCGAATCTAGGACCACTCAAACTTGTCGTGCCTACTTCTACTGGATCACCCGGGAGCAAGGCTCCTTTGAGTGGTTCCGTGGATTCATGGACGAGATGGTGGAGACAGGGGACGAGGGTGTCATCGAGCTTCATAACTACTATAGCAGCATCTACGAGGAGGGCGACACCCGGTCCGCGCTCATCTCCTTGCTCCAGTCCCTTAACCACGCCAAGCACGACATCGACATGGTCTCTGGTGCTCGCGTCAAGACCCACTTCGGCCGACCAAACTGGTGGGATGTCTATGAGCGTATCGCCCTCAGGCACCGTGAACAACGCGTTGGTCAGTATCAAAACTAAATACATACTTTGTGCGCATTGAACACCAAGAGTATTCAATAAACATCATTTTTTTTCGCACATTAGCACATATCGTTACGAGTTAGCGCTAACTCCGGTTCTTGGATCTCACAGGAGTATTCTACTGTGGCACGCCGGTGCTGACAAAAGAGCTGAGCGAGCTTGCCCATAATTTCTCGAGAAAGACAAGCACAAAGTTTGAGTTTTATAATGCGAACTTCTAGTTATGCAGATAACTCAGCCATAAGAAGTTTCTCTTTTTTGTGTGGGAAAGTGGAAGCATGTTATTTTTATACTTCGCCATCCAATAATGTATGATGTATTTCAATTCAATTAAGACAAGATTTTTGTGATGTATTAAAAATATTGAAATGTTAAACAAAGTTATTTATTTAAATAAATATGACTGATTTTCCTGCTTTTGGCTAGATTTTTCAAATGAATGAAAATTTTATGAGTTTCTAGATTTCTCCTAACCTTATTTAGAATTTAAATTTACGAGTTGGTTGACATAACTATCCAAAAACTTCAGTTGTGATTTTTTTTTTTGGCGTACTTGTAATTTTGGTGTCTTGTTCGATTTTTTTCAAGGTTGGGAATTTTGCACTAGAAAACCATCATTAGCCAAATAAATACTCTGCTAATGATTTTTAACATGGATTTTTTTTCATATAGAACTTTATTGCATTTTTAGCTACTTATTAAATTTTTATTTTTTTTTAGAGGAACGCACGGCCACATTATTGGTATGCAATTGGTCTGCTGTGACATTCGAATGTAATCGGATCAGCCTGAAGTGTATCTCTTTTCTCTCTTTGGCATTATGACAAATACCTCGTGTGTGACGACTTCGGTTCCTGCTCGCTCGGGATTTTTTGTCCAAAAGGACCCCCTGCCGAACGCTATTGTCAAAAAGGACTATCTGCAGATAAAAACGTCAAAAAGGACCCCCTGACTAGTGGCGGCAGGTGCGGCAGGCGACACGTGGCACCTGCCGTCACACCAGGAGGCGGCGGGCCCCGTCGCCACCGCAGGAGGCGGCCGCGCGGTGCACAACGGATTCGGCACAGTGCAACGGAACGGGTGAGGCCAGGTGGGCCACGCCGCCACTGGCTGAGGCGGCCGCTGCTGCCCATGCCGCGCCCAGGCCGACAGCAGCATCTTCACGGGAAGCGAGGCGCGGGCCCGGCCGCCACCGGGTGAGGCGGCAGCGCGCATGCGACCCGACAGCCCTGACGGCGCTGATTTCAACGGCGCTGATTTCTATGACAGCGACCTGACGGCGCTAATTTGGACAGCGCTGATTTTCCTACGCGCTGATTCCCGTGTGCAACAGCGACCCTGACGGCGGTGATTCCCACGAGCGGGAAAATGCACGCTGATGCTTCTTTCGCCCAAGAAACAGTCTTGCTTTAGCTTCTTTTGCCTCAGCGGATAGGACCGCACTGTGAGAATCGCTCTGGCTATTGCTTGAGAGGATGCGACGGCATCAGTCACTCGCTGCGGGAATCCAATACTGCGGGAAGCTATTGCGCCGACACTACAGGGATCCTAAAATTTACTGCTTAATTTTCTCGCCATTATTTATCGTCTGGGCTTATAAAAGGAGACACCGAGGCTCTCGTCCAGCCATCCTTGAAATCGCCACTGCGCAAAGTGTATAACACAATTTTTTTCAGTCGGTATGAGTTTGCCTTGCTCGGATCAAAGCATTAGGCCGAGGAAAATGAAGAACGCAAGTTTGCCTCCTGGGGTGGCAGTCCTGCGATGTTGGTGTGGCGATCTTTGCAAGGTGAAGGAGGTGACGGATTTTTCAGATTGGTTGGGCATGAAGTTTTTCATGTGCGCCAATTATGAGGAAGATCCTGCCGTAGCTATTTCAGAGTACGACAAGCCTCCGGTATGCTTTAACCATCACGAATAGATATTGTTGGTATTTTCATTGATTCTTTAGTAACATTCTTGTTTCTTGTTGTAGTCTCCTCCGCCTCTGTGCATGTACTATCATTGGATTGACACGGAGAAGCCGGCTTGGGCAGTGACTGAGATTCGTGAAAGAAGTCTCCGTGCGTGGAATAGTTTATTTGCGGAAGAGCGACGCGAGAAGGCGGAAGCTGAGGAGAAAGCAGAGCAAGAGAGAGAGTTAAAAGAATACTATGCGGAGCAACACCGTTTTTTTGAGGAAATGGGAAAGAAAAATAGGGAAGAGGCTCGTCGCATGGAGGAGCAGGAACGACAGCGAAAGGAGGCTCGTGAGGCAGAGAGGCAGAGAAAGAAAGAAAGGGCTCGTCAGGCCAAGGCAGCAGAAGAAGCTGGCGATGGAAAAGGAAAATATCCACGCTGGACTCAGTAGATTCCTGTGGTAGTATTTAAAATTCCGCAATCATTTGTATCTTTATTTCTGCACTTTAATGTAGCTTTATTTCAGGAGTTAAATGTAGGTATATTCCTACAATGTATCTTATTTTCAGTTGTGCCGTGTCGTAATGGAAAAAAAATATAGTTTAAGAATAAAGTAGTGGCATTTTCTTTCCCTCCACTAATATCGAACATCGTGCAACAACTACAAAATAAAATTAAGATAGAACATAATGCCCTACAATAACAGAGTACAAACTAATAATGCAAGTACATCCGAATTAAACGGTAGAACTGGAATAAAACTACATGAAGGCATCATCGTCATCCTCCATCGATGCAGAACTCTTGCCCTTCGAGGATGTAGAACTCTTACCCTTGGACGATGCAGAACTCTTGCTCTTCGAGGATGCAGTACTCTTGCCCTTAGACGATGCAGAACTCTTGCCCTTTGATGATGCAGCACCCGGAAGCGGCGGCATGAAGATATCATCTTCATCCTCGCTCTCCTCAGTCCATAAAAATGGATGCATTTCTGCAGTCCTTCTGAAAGTTTCACTCTTCGGCTGCACTACATTCTTCCACCTTGCATGCAACCTAAGAAGTTCTTTACGTACCTCCTCATAGGTCCTTTCAGGCCACCCAGACCTACGTAATTGGTGAGCCAACTCATTCATTATGGTGTCACTACCGGTGAGTTCGTCCCATGGAACTATCCTACTGTCCATCCTGAAATCGGTAGCTAGCCTCAGAAGAGTCCTGCTCATCCCAGGGTGAAAACTACGATCGAAAGGATAATGGGACATCTCGACTACACTACACTCGAATGCTTATCCACCTCCGTCTGAATGGGGTTTTATAGGTAGAGAGGAGAAAATGGCGGGAAAGAACGAGTGCAGTATGGCGGGAAAGGGTTGGCGGGAACATATGGCGGGAAACGAGTGGCGGGAAGATATGGCGGGAAGGGGTTGGCGGGAAACGGGTGGCGGAACATATGGAGGGAAAGCGTTGGCGGGAAAATATTGAGGGGAAAGCGTTGCCTGAAAATATTGAGGGGAAAGCGTTGACTGGTGCATTTTTATTTCAGCAAACATAGATGTTCAAATCGAAAAGTCTGATACACACATATATAGATACAATGGGTCGCGCACGTGCATAGATGAATCACCCTACTTAACGACGACCACCTGGCCTTTCCTTACGACCGGAAGGCGACAAGCGATTAGGTGGCCGGGTCACACGAAGACCGCGGCCGTACTCCACTTCGGCTTCATGTGTCTGTGAGTCCTGCGTAGGTGGTGGAGTCGCGAATCCTTGTTGCGAACCTGAAGCGTAATTGTAGGCGTATGGTTGTGACTCCGGGGGGATAAAAGATGGGCCAATAACATCCCCTCTGAAGAACTCTGTAACTAATGATGTAACCGTGTCGCCAAGATCATGTGATGCTCCCCGGAGGTCTGTGTTGACGCCATGATCATGTGATGCTCCTCGGAGGCCTGTGTTGACGCCGCGTTGGGTGTTCTCATCGCCCCAATTAACATCAGGTGTGTCCTGCACATAGAAACATTTTAAACAAACTGTTAGAGGATAATATATGATATCATTGTAAATGCATTGAAATGTAAACATGACTACCTGAGCATATCCCTCTCCTATACTGTCTGGCCATTGTACTTGGTGCTGGTTTAAATCTGGTACACGAGTCTCCTCGGGCATGGGGATCCCTCGCGTGGAGAGAAACGGCTGAGATCCCTCACCTTGGGTGTATGCATCATATCCTGTGTACGCATATGGGTTAGGGGAAAGAAACTGCTCGGGCATCGAATCCAAGCCCGTGCCATGGTCCTGAGATGTTTGCCCCTGACGAAGCTGCATCGAAGAAGAGCGATGCAGTGGCAGAGATGAGTCATGTCGTGGCAATGTCGTTCTAGTACTCGGACCCTCCCCCCATTGCTCATGGCTCGTACGTGCCTCGCTCGGTCTGGACGACGGTGCCGCACTCGGTCTGGCTGACCTCGCTACCGGCATGTATGCTCCAGTGGCAACATCGTCGCCTCTACCGCATCTGAACTTCTTTGCCACGAATTGTTGCAAAAGTTTCTGGAATGTCTTGCGATATGGGCCCTGGGCCGGCATGCTATCCGTAGCCATCTGCCCTACTTCGTTGACATTTTCAAGCTGAACAATATTTGGATGTTATTTAGTTCCAATGATTATGAAATGATGGACCTAAAAAAGTTGTCTTTGTCCACCTGGTGGCCATAGTTGCGCTAGCACCCTCGCCAAAGTCATATGGGTATATGGGTTGTACTATACGAGGTCGTCCTACAGGGAGGTATTCCCAGGACCACAACTGTAGAAACTCATAGGCGACACAAAGTAATGGAGCTTTTTGTGCGAAAGAGGTTTTTTGCGTGGCATCGCACAAGCCTCTGTATGTATGAGATAGCATGGCAGAACCGAAGCTGTATTTTGGCTGCTCGGGTAAAGGTTCATCTACCATATTCTCTGCAATGTAGATGAGACCAGGGACAACAACGTCCCCATGTGAATTTGGAAATAGATTCCCGAGGAGCCACAACAAATATGCAAACAGATGTCTTTTTCTCGTCTCCTCATTGGCGAAGATAGATAAATTAAGAAAGTTATCACGAAGCCAGACGAGTGGGATGCCCCGAGGGTTACCAGAACGTTGTGATTCTGGCATTTCCATCCCAAGACGGGCTGCTATATCTAATGCCCAAGATGGAGACACTCGTGGAGAGACTACCGGCTCACCTCTAATTGGTAGAGCAGTGATCATAGAAACATCTTTCAGTGTAGGTGCAAGCTCCCCAAAACGGAAGTGAAAGGTGTGGGTTTCAGGTCTCCACCGGTCAACGAGGGATGTCAAAAGGGATGGGTCCGAACGTACTTGGTCGTCGCATGATGTGAGCCTAGCAAAACCTTGTAGTCCATAAGCGTCAAGGTGAGCAAGGAAATGATTGTGTATTGGCCATGTTTTCTTTATGGTTCGAAGTCTGAAAGGCCGATAATCATGCTTAGTATTTGGTTTCAAAAATAGGTGGCAACGGTGCCCGACGTCATGGGGCCCCTGCAAAAGCACTGGCACTTCACCCATAACCTGCACACAAACATACAAATATAAATTACGAGGAAGACAGAAATACAAATGCAAATCTAAATTAACTTAAAAAATACAAAGAGATACGATTTACATTAATTATCTGAAGTTAACATCAGGAGTACAATAATACAAAGAGAATGAATTTAAATTCAATATAAGTACACATAACGAGTACAAATATAAATAGACATGGCGAGTACATATATATCAACATCATGCGTTGTTGTTGGCTCGATACGGGCAGTCTTTGCGTGAATGTCCAGGACACCTGCAAACGCGGCATCGCCTTGGTTCTCCCATCTGGCTATGGTCCATGTCATTGCGATGACGCCTAGACTGACGTCGTCTCTTTGCGGTTCTCATCAAGTCGGTGTTCGGAACCCATTTCGGCCCATCTGGCCACAACATTTTGTAGTTCATATCAATGCCCCAAGCCCAGAACTCACCGTTCCAAGTGTTGTACAGATTGTACATGTTAAAGTACGGCGATATGTATGGCTCGACGCTGATTTTTTGAACAGCAGTCGCCCGGAGCACATGACTGCAAGGGTAGCCCTCAAGCTTGGGCTTGTTACAAGTGCACTCACAGGAGGTTGAGCCAAGGGTGACAGCTTGCTTTTTTGATCCTCTGTGGTGACCCTTAACGTACTTGGCTCGTACATTGACCTCCCACTTATTCCTAAGTGCGTCCACTTTCCTGCAGCCATGACTTTGGGACTTCTTTGCTTTCTCGTCCAGATGTCTTTGCATCTTCTCGGACCATGGCTTGTTCAATTCAACTTGTGCTTTGGCGACGGTGACCCTGTCTGCAAAGTATGACAGGGTCCGGTTCCAAGTTTCTTCAATTAGGGCTGTGATAGGCAGTGCTCGCACCCCTTTAAGAACACCATTGTACACCTCTGACATGTTGCTGGTCATTATTCCATACCGAGCCCCGGTGTCGTGAGCTTGTGCCCACTTCTCCAAATGAGGGCAATTCTCGGTGATCCACTGGCTCAAATTTATGGCCGTCCTACGACCCCTCCGGTCTTCTCTCTGCGGCAAGGCCGCGCGGTCGATCTCACCATTGATACCTGCCCATATCGCATTCATTTTGGCTACAGTTTTTTGCATGCACATCCTCTTGAATAACTTGAACCAATCCTTGTTTTTGAATTTGGAGTAAAAGTTTGCTCCCAAATGCCTCATGCACCACCTTCCCTCTAGATCGGGCCAGCCCCACTCTTCTTCCGACGCCTTAATTATTTCAAGAGCGCTTAATAATCCAGTGTTGCGATCAGAAATGATGCAAACACCTTTACGCTCTTTCACGACACCAATCTTCACGCAGATCAGGAACCACAACCAGCTATCTTTGTTCTCGCTCTCGACCAATGCATATGCAATAGGAAGAAGCTGATTATTTGCATCCACTGCAATCGCCACCAATAGTGTGCCCT